CCCCCCCCCCTCCTTCGAAAATTTACAGCAGCCGCATAGGTACTTTCGGATTCCAATTTGGATAATATTTGAAAGTTAATAAATAATATTTTGAACATTAGGAGTACTCTTTTTCCTTCATCCGGAGTTTTGTCCTACTGAGTTGTTGCCAAGCAAGGTTTTACTGAAGCCCTATAGTTATAAATTATTATCATTTGATCTTAATTAGTTGTTTATTAAAAAAAAGTTCACACGTCCAACATTCATTGAGTAATTGGAGTATAAGAATCAATTTGTAGAAATTGAATAACTTTTATGAATCGCCTTTAGCTCCTAAAACTAATTAGACCTTTTCCAATCACGCACACTACACGACTTACAAATTTTAAATTTTGTTTTTACAATTGTATTTTTCTAGATGGCCGTCTTAAAAGTTTTCCTTTATTGCTCGTATTTTTCTTGATGCATGTATTAATAGTTTACCCGCGATAAAAGAAAAAAAAACGGTTGAGACATGCATCTAGATAAATACTAGCAAAAAAGAAAACTTTTAAAATGACAATCTAGAAAAATACAATTGGGAAAGAAAAAAAATTTAATTGCAAGTCGCGTGTGATTGAAAAAAGGTCTCCTGCACACGCGGAAGCTGGTGCAAGAGGCTAGCAAATAATAATAAAAAGCCAAAATGAAAAATAAAAAATAAAAAAAAATACAGCTTTTTATAAACATTCCTGAGATTCACAAAACTATAGGTTTCGTCTTTTATGGTTTTTTTTATTTAAAAAATCCATCCGCCACCTCAAGGTTAACATGCGTGCTCACAAATAATCCTTGTCATCAGGTTTCGTCCAAAAATCTGATAATCGATGACGTAGCACATATGTTGATCTCACATATTCAATAATACAACGCCACATAAATTAAATAAAAAAATATTTAAAAATCATACACCCATATCAACACACACAAAACGAATAAATTAAATTAGAAAAAACCTAAGCCACATGTTCCATCACAAGGAGTGTCGAAAAAATTATAAATATTATAACAAAATTGAGTTTGGCTACTTACTTCCCATTTTCATTGCTCAAAATGAGTATTTTGCAACTTTAGGGACGAAGAAAATGTCACAAGGAGTTTCTACGAATTTTCAAAGTTAAAACATGGAAATATGATAACTAAAAGGAAAATAATGATATGTGGCAAACGCTAAATGGTGGCCGCAATTGTTTCTGATGGGTGTCCCCCTCGAGTACCGCCATGTGTCTTTTTATTTACTTTTTGTGTTTCAACAAAAAAATTAATAAGAAATTAGAAAAATATATCCAAAAATGCTATAAATTCCTACGACATTATCTTTGACAATGAAGTATAAAAAATAGCGCATGGGGTGGCACCACAGTGGAAAAGTGAGCCAAACTCTCCCCTCTTCCCCACCAAGTTCACTCAGATTGGTCCTAAAATATAATTTTAAATAAGAGAAATTAGAGATTATTTTTTTATCAATTTGTATATTGATTTTTCTCAAAGCTATGATTTTCTCATTTTGATTTGATTCCATCTAGTCTCAAAATTATACTCTCTGTTTGTTTTGAATCATCTTGCTTGAAAAGGCATAAAAAAGGTGGAGAGAGAGAGGAAGAAGAGGATCTGCTTTGTTTGGGTCGGGTCGGGTTGGATTGGGTGGGTGTATGGGTTTTGTTTTACCCGTTTCTACGTGAAACCTAACTAAAGCCATGTTTTAATCTCCACGGTCCAATTTCTTCTAACGGCTCATACGCCTGTACGCACCAAGAACGGCTCGTCGTCCACTTTATCCACCCCCACGAGCAGTAAGTAAACACAGTGGAAGAGAGAGAGACCACCATTTTCATGCTTTCAAAGCTCACCTCAGCGGGCTCAGCTCTGTTCCGGTTAGGATTTCCTCCACCCCAAAGTTACTACCCCCAAACAATGAGTACCTGCTCGGGCTTCCGATCCGAACCCAGAACCCTTTCAATTTCTCACTAAATCTATGTTCTATGGGTTCAACATCTTCAGGTACTTTTCTGTTTCTTCTGGTTTTCTTGTACTTGGATATCTCTAATTCATCTGCTGCTTGGTGGCTAAAGTGTTGGAAAATACCAGAAAAGATTTGGTGGTAGGTAGCTGTGCTTGCCTTTTCAATTTTCTCCTCAATTGGAAAACTGTGAATCTTAAGTTTTGTTTCTGAATTTTGTTCCTTTATTAACTTCTCCTTCTCTTTCTTTGCTGCCAAAAAAATGGGAATTCTGAGCTACATTATGTTCAATTTCTCTCCGTGAGTGATATCTCAGATACGTCCTATCTGGGTATTTTCAGATTTTTTTTGCTGCTCTTTTTCCCTTTTCCGCTTTTTAATATTAAAAAATAATAATACCTTGATTTCATTATCTATCATTAGCTTCATTGCTGTGAAATGAAATTTTAGATGGTATGTTTGTTGTGTGCTTTGTTTTCTGAAAAGATGAAGCAACTCACCTTGAGCGGTTACAGTAGTTGACCCATCAATACTAGGCTTACTAGAAAGTTCGAATTTGGATTAATATGATCTGAGGTGGTGGTTGTGTATCCTAAAACAGGTGGATTTGCCATAATCTTTCTGAACGTATGAGCTTAGAACCAAAGGGTAAATAAAAACCCTCCGTTAGGATGTCTATATACTCTAGTTCTGGTACAGTTAATCTAATCGTAAAACTTCATTTTAGTACTTCTAGTTGCATTGATATTCTTAATGTTTCAAACTACGCAATATAAGTCCGCTGTGTACTCTCTCTCTCTCTCTCTCTCTCTCTCTCTCTCTCTCTCTCTCTGTGGAAATGAGCTAATAATGTTCCCTTCTGTATTTGCTGATGCTTGAAGGTGGCACAGGTATTGCTTCATTGACCAGAGCTGTTTTTGGGCATATCACCAACTACTGTAACGATTACTTATGTAAATCTCTTTGACACCAGAGGGCTAGTTATGGACTGCTTTCGAACTTTTAGTCATCTCAAAGGTAAGCTTGTAATTAATTCTACCTAGCCTGCTTTAGAATTTTCAGTAGGGTGAAGAAAAAGAATGGGAAATGTCAGTGAAGCATAAGTTTGGTTTTTAGATGATATGACTACTTAAAGTGTGGTAATATATTGTAGTCTCATTCACTACTGTAGTACTGTTATGACTATGAAATAAGTCTCATCCTGTAGTGTAGTGGTGATATATTGTCAGACATCTCCCTTAAATCAATTATTTTGGTAACCTTTATCTTCCAAGTAAAATTTTAAACTTGCAGTGTATGGTTCTGTGGTTATTTTTTAGCAGCTTGTCTATCAAAAAGGCACCATGGTTTATTGATTATTGTTTGACGATTAATTGTTCCAAATTTAGAATAGGATTATCCTTTTTTGGCGGAATGAACTACTTGGAGTGTGATATGTACTGGATTCTGATAGTTGTCTCTATGTTCTGTGATTGTCTTCATGCATCTGGCTATCTCAGTGAACATTCCCAATCTCCCATGTTTTTTTGCTGCTATTTATCTTTTTGCAGGAAGTGTGGCCGTAGATAGGACGGATTGACTATGTGTCTAACTCATGGTTTAATGTTCTGGCAAAGATGCATTTGTGCTGTTGTTTTGACTATATGAACACAAAAGGCACAATGAGTTTTGTTTGTTTATTAGTTAAAGAATA